TGAATTATTGATTTATTTTGTGTAATGTCTTGCACTTAGAGCAGAGTCACTTGAACCATGAAATAGAAACTAAATACTTACTATAGCAACTAATAGGCACTATAGACACTATCACTGAACCAGAACAGTACAAAGAGATTAATTTTATTGTTATAGTGGTCTCTTGGGTATTGCTTGTTGGATCGTTCTGGTTCAGTGCTAATGATTATTAGAAACTAATAGTGCCTAAGAACCTTTTAGTTCTTATTCCATGGTTCATGTGACTCTGCTCTATAATAGAAGTGTAAACTAAAAAACTTGTAAATGTGCGAATATTATTGTTGGCTCTTACTAATAATGAAAATGTTCTTTTCTAAACAATGATGAGAAACATGAAATGAAATAATAAATATATGAAAATTCTCAAAATCAAGAACATGACCAACTTGGCTAATAAAATTGTTTGATGGAGTGCTATGACTATACATGAGAGATAGAGAGCTAACAAAATAGTTGCTGTTGTTGGGCTGTCTMAATTTTCATCAACCCTAAAACTGCACATCACTGGCATCACAGGCTATTTCATATTTAATGCATATACTCTCATTGATTTTGACATAATTTTGATGTATTTAAACTATTACACTGGATACACTTTATCCATAGCAGTGTAAACAATTGAAAACGAAGGAATTCACATAATTTAGCACTATCCTGTACTATTTGAGTTTCATAAATTAATGAAGTGCCTCGGCTCTAAAGCAATTTTATTTAATCAGTGAAATAAAAACTAAATAGTTCTTATCAATTAGTCACTATTTTGTACATGATAGCAATAAACTTATAGTTCAATACTCGGGAGACATTTTAAAAATACACAAGAATCAAGCATTTCATTAATTTTTCATTGATATCACAGTACAAATGAAATAAATTAAGAATATATGACTTAATTCAATTATTGTGTATATGTGGATTTCAATGTCTCCTGAGCTACAAGTTGATTTGCTTGAGTGAAATATCATCTATTTACATACAAAATATTTACTAATTGTTATGAAATATTTAGTTTTTATTTCACAGATAATATGAATTGCTCTAATATATGTTGTCATATTCCAAACTTAAATAGTTTTGCTATAAATATATGCAAGTACTGTAGAGAATTAAGTGAAGTCAAAAAAACCTGTGAAATAGATAGTACATGAATACACTAGCAAGCATGCTTTTACATGCAATTGCATTGTTTTCTTTTGTGTCTACTTCACTACTTTGTTTCACTGGTTTCACATATCCCACCAAATAACATTAAATACACAATAATAATAATTTACAAAAATTAAAATGAAGCATCAACACTGCATCATTTTTTTTTTCTTGTACTGTTTATGGCTTTTCTGGAAGTGTTAGGATAACAACCCTGACAATAGTAATCAGAGGGAGATTTATATTAGGCAAACACAAATTATCAAAAATTATAGACACAACAGAGTTTCATGGTTTAAGTGATGTTATTTGATATAATACATTAAAGCCAGCATCCACACTGTGATAGCAATATTATTTTTGCACTACATGTGTCTACATTTGTTTTTGTTAGGTTGCATCCTCAAGTGTTAATTCTCTATCTTTAAATCTGAATGTGAACACTTTTTCCAGTAAATTTACATGAAAATGCTCCATTGAGTGTATGTGGATATGAACAAAATATCCATTTTTTGTTAATTGGGTCTATTATTTATATCTTAATGAAGTATCTTAGGGGAAGAATGGTGGGAAACATGCAAGAAGTTTTACATTACAGAAATGAACTAGACATTGTTTTTTTGTAAATGTACAATATTTATTGAAAAACAAATGATTGATGTTGCTCTTTGAATGCATCTTACCATGTTATGGGACTTCGTATGGATAGAATATAAAAAGAGGAGGATTTATGAAGAGATGAGAGAGAGTAACTCTTTTGACCTTGTCAAAATTTCAATAAAAAACACAAATTTCTGAAGTCCACATTCTTTAAAAAAATACCTCACCTGATATTTTTTACAATTATTCATAATGAACGTTATGGCGAAATGTCAACCTTAACTTTGTYGCCCTGACCTTAATTCAGTCCAAAACGTGCCGGTGTTTCTGACAACTTCTGATCGATACGGTTTAYTTTTTWGTCTACTTCAAATTCATTTTTTGTTACCACCTATAAGCTGAAACCTCTACAAAGCTCATGGATACCCAAAATGGTCAATAAATTTTGATATTAGCTCATCTGATCGGCGACATTTGACCCAAAAGAAGAGATTTACAGCTCTGAATCGCTCCGTCTTTTTGTTGCCCGTCGTCCTCCATTTTGTTTTCGAAGCAATCACAAAATTTCGCGCATGCGCTGCGGTTTTTGAGCCGTGTCAGTACGTCCTAATATAGGTAAGGACTTACTCTTTTTAATCACAATAGGTGATTTTGTAAGATTCGTTATTAAAACCTGATAGAAAGGATATGAAATCACCTCATTTTTCATAATTTATGAAAAAATTCGAAACACGACCCCGTTGAATGCTGGTTGACAATGGTYCTTTAAGATTATTTTATAACAGAAACGTATTAGGGGAAACAATAGTTTTTCTAACTGCAAAGCCTCATTCTTGCCATCTGCACCAAAGTTATGCATAGAGGCCTCATTCTTAAAAGAGCAAGTTTTGTGCAATATTTCAGTAAATATAAATCAAAAAATTCCGATGTATAAATTATCATTTTCATAACAG